GCAGCTGCTGGGGTTGATCTGATTGTTTGGTGAAGGAGTGAGGAGTGAAAAGGTTTTTGTACCACAAATTAACGTTTATATTTGAAGTCAACTCGGACATTATTTTTTGTTACTTTTATAAGTAAAAGAAACCCCTTTGAAACAGGAGAAGTCTCTGCGAGTGCTTTTTATTTTTTCTTTGAGTGAGTCAAAAACCTCCTCCTAAAAGACCACTCTTGCATTTTTGTTTTTTGGACTTTATTATGATGCAAGAGTGCAATATATATTAACTTCACATTTCTCCAATGAATATTTATCAAAGGTTATGATTAGAAGGATACATTTCTTTTACTTTGTTTTCCTGCGGTTGTAGACTTGGCAGTAGAAAATTAATATAGGAATAACACCTTTATATCCCTTTTAACAGGTTACACTTGATTCTGCTGTGGTGCCTGTGGAAACGAAGTGCATGAAGTTTGTGCTCAGCTAGGAAAACCCTGTGGATCACATGGTGGGACTTCTGCTTCAAACTGCTCACTACAGTTTACCATTGGCTCTGTCATCCACCAGTTCACTGCAGACTGGCACCAGTTCACTGCAGACTGGCACCTGCCAAGGACCCTACATGGATGTCTTCTTAAATTGTAAACCCTGAGGACATAATGTTGAAATAAAATTGATGTACCTCTTGTAAATAAATTTTCTCTATCAATGACTTAAATTGTTAACTGTGATAATTGTTTGTGTAATATATATATATATATATATATATATATATATATATAAATCCATGTACAGTGTTTAATATAATTATTACATAGATGTTTGCAAGAAACGGCCACAAACCTTATGTATTTGGTCCACAATGGCAGCTTTAATTTTAGCATTTCCTCTCCTCCACATACTTTGTTGCCAGATGTGTAAAATTTACAAAAAGAAGCAATTTAAATGTAAAAGTTGCACATATGTAGATTACTCAAGAGAAGCTATTTACAATAGTTTTTACAGAACTCTACACAACATCAATTTATTAATAGATACATATAGATATTAAAGGATAGATACACAAAGATTTCATTTCTAACAGCTGCTGGCAGTAGTGAGTGTTCATCCAAGAAGTGTGGCTTGCAGGAGCAGGGAGGCTCTGTACTGGTTTGTCTTCTTTTAAATCAAGAGGCCCATGATAGTTTGACTAGGCAGCAGATGTCCCACAGCTGATTGACTGAACCTGCCATGGACAGAGGAACACGACCATCTCAGATATGGTGGGTTGTTAGGTAGGTTACTGCTGAGAAAGATGAACAAAACAATACATCAGAATATGGAAATTATTTGGCAGATAGCGCTTAAGTCAATATTTAAAATGCTTTTCTAAACAACTGTTGGAAGATGTCAGTGATTTTAGTGAAACTTAACAACACAGCACTGACAGGCAGCGGTCTATACATTCCCTAACTGTGGCTAAAGCTGCTGCTAGCTGGTTTACTCTCCGATCGGAGGCTGTTTATTATATACACAGTTAGAGAATGGTGGATTGACAATGAGTAATAACGGCTAACACTTAAATGCTGTTGTAATTAACCTTACCTTTTAGTATATCCTTAAGATAATGAGTATCCGTGAATTTTTCAGTCAGGTTTCCAGAGGCACAATCACACCAGAAGAAAAGATACACCTCTTCGACTTACGGCGCCCGTTGTCTGACATCACTGTGAAATGGGTCTCCAGAAAAACTTCCGGTTCAGAAGTAAAACGAGCTGTAGTCCAATCAGCGATTTCTTAGGTCTCCCACTAGGACCTACCTTTTCCGTTTTCTTAATGTCGTTGTGTTTTCGTTAATGTTGTTGTGTTTTGGGCCACCGTACTTTTTGTTTCTTTCTCTCTCTCTCTTCCTCTCTCTCTCTCTCTCTTCCTCTCTCTCTCTTTGCTTCTCTCTGTCTCTCTCTCTTTATCTCTTTGTTTTTCTCTTTCTCTCTCTTTGTTTCTCTCTTTGCTTCTCTCTTTGTCTCTCTCTGTCTTCCTCTCTTTCTCTTCCTCTCTCTCTTTCTCTCTCTTTTTCTCTCCCTCTTTCTCTCTTTGCTTCTCTCTGTCTTCCCCTCTCTCTCTCTCTCTTTGTTTCTCTCTCTCTTTCTCTCTTTGCTTCTCTCTTTGTCTCTCTCTCTCTTCCTCTCTCTCTTTCTCTCTTTCCTGATGTTTCTATCATTGAGCGTTGCCACATCACTCCCTGCTGTTTTCTGCTGCTTATCAACAACCAAAGTGCCATTTTGTCTGTTTGTATCTGAAAGTTTCACAGGATTTCAGCTCAGTCGTTCTCCAACTCAGTGGGAGGTGATTCCCTCTTTGACCCAGTGGTCTCTAGTTCATATTCCACTCACATTCCTGTTCACTATTCCAGCCACTTGTTGCACATATTCCTTTCCTGCTGTAAGATGCTGAATTGTTTCAGGAGCATCTTTGCACAGTCTGAGCCTGGTGTGGTAGATCTGGGCTTCTATTGCTCTGCTGCTGCCTTGATCCGTGTTTCTGTGCTGTCCTTCAGTCTGGCCCTCTCTAACCTTTTGGTTTAATCATCAACCACTTCAGTTATCTCTCTATCATCTATGGAGTCTCAGTTCCTCCCAGTGTGAATCCACTCTGACCAACTGTCTGGATATCAAAACTCACCAGACCAGGCAACATTTGTGTGAATTGTAGCCTCAGTTTCATGGTGCATAGTATTCTGCATATTTTGGTTTTATCAAGTGCTGCTATTTTCTTTCTGTCTGACATCAACAAGGCATTGTCCTCCACTGGAAGTGGACGTTTTCTCCTTTTGGCTGTGAATCAGAGGGTTTGTTGTGTTGAAATTTCCCATTGGCAGTTTTAAAAATACCAAGACCAGCATCAGCAATAATGAGACATTAAAAATCACATTAATAACTTTTCTTCCACATTCTGATGCTCTTTTTAAACAAGCAACCTGTTTTCTCTTTGTTCAAATCCCAAATGAACCGTTTACAGTAAATTAGTTGGTGAGGAGGCAATTCCAAAAAAACATGTTTAAATTCATATTTATCACCAAAAATATGATTGGTGGTGTTTGACACACTTTTATCACGGTCAGGTGATTACACATAGAAGTAAAATGTTTATTTCATGTAGTTTCTAGATGATCTTTGTATCACAGCCTCCACACATTGAACATGTTTATTTTGGTCACATGCGGGAAGCAGCACAGAGTTCATGGGGTAAAGGTGAGAGCGTGAGGCCCGTCTGCGGCGTCAGGTCCAGTTCATCCTCTGAAACTCCGGGTGGAGGAGAGAAACGGAAGTGCTGCAGGAGGGTGGAGAAGAAAATAAAGAGCTCCATCCTGGCCAGAATATTGATGAGGCAGTGAAATAAACCAGCAGAAGGATTACAAGACCCACAAACAGAGAGAGAGAAATGGAGTCCTGGAGCAAAGTATCCAACATTCCCATGATACTAAAGCAAAACGTATAGAGGATCAAACTGCTTTCACTGAAGAGAGCAAATTGTTGTGTTGAAATGAATCAACAGAGAGGTTTTATAACAGAACAAGGTTTACATAACACTCAAACATCAGGACTTCAGTCTGTGGCACCATCTACATGCAGGATCAAGTCTCTCTCTCTCTTTCTGATGTTTCCATCATCTTCCACAGCCTCCTCACAATGACTGTCTTCTGTTGCTTGTCAGTGACCACATTGTCTGGTTGATTGTCCATTTTGTTTGTTTGTAACAGGAAGTCCCACAGCCACCTGGTTAAGGCGTTCCATGTATTCCTTTCCTCCTAGTACTGTCAGATTGTGCTGGACGGTACCTGCAGCGTCTTTTGCAGTCTGAACCTGAGATCTGATCTGCTAGATCGGGGTTTCTCCAGACCTGCTCCATGACCAGTGCTTCGGTCCTGCCCTTTAGTTTGGCCCTTTCTTGATTAACAGGAAGTAGAGGCTGCAAACTAGAATGAGATCTCAGAAAAATGGAGATAATCCTTGATATTTTTCGCATTTCGTGCCTCTGGCATGGCACAGACCTCCAGTGGATGGAATCATAGACATCTGAACTTTTTTTGACAAATGTGTTTCCATTTCCCCTTAACTCTTTAGGAAAACCCAAAAGCCTCAAACAAGCATGAAAACATTTTTGTGAAGCTTAAAATGTTATTTTATATTTTGCCAATAGCATCAACTGTTTCTATTGTGATACTTCAAAATGTGCAACATGGTTACTGCCTGAGACATTCACTGAGCGCTTCATCTGTCATTTCATCTTCCTGATGCTCTTGGAAGTTGGATATTTCATCTTTATTATTCCAGTTTGTGCAAAGCACCAGTGCAACCGTCAGAGACTATAGCATGATGCTTCCTCCTTCTCTCAGACTTCTTGGGTTTGAAGACATTTACTCCCAAAAGCTTTCCAAGAAATAAAAAGGATTGTGTTCATGTAGATTACTATATATGCATTGACATAATCCGCAGTGGGGCAAAGGTATTTAGGATAAAGTTAAGGAGAGAGTTGACTTGACTTAATGATTGCTTCTTGTAGACAACATAATTACTTTATGGTTAGGAATAAATGTCTTGCAGCTCTTGTAGTTTATATGTAAGTCAACCTTTATCTAGATAAGATAACGACATGTAATAAAGTAATATGTAAGAATATTGTATGTTATTGGGATTTTAAATGATTGACAAACATAAGGTTGAACACAATTATGAAGAGGAAAATGAAAATATACATAGTGTGACGTACATTTGTATTCAGCTTCTTTTAATCATTTAACCTTTAATGAAATCAGTCCAACTCCCTTCAGAGGTCATCTAGTTAGTGAATACATCTGATTTGGTTTTATGCCAGGACATGGAGCTTTCTGTTGTTACCTCCCAAATATGCAAATCAAACCTTTCCCTGTCAGAGTTGCAGCTCCAGTTGCAGCAAAAGTTACTTCTGCAACATATTAACTCAGAATATAAAAGCCTGCCACACACACACACACACACAAAATCAAAACCCAGCCATCATTTTGATTCTTCTTTGTAATTCTAATCTTTTTGCTGGTTTATCACATTCTGGGATAAGCTTAGCTTAGCCACATGTCATGAAACATTTAACTAAAATCCTTTTTTATTACTTATTTAGACTCATTGCATGATTTTCATTCATTGATTAATAAGCATGAACAGTGTCTGTTTCACAAACATAGTTTTTGAGATTGTTCTCTAGACATAAAGGTTCATAAAATAAGGCTTTGCATAAACAGTTGATTCTCCTTCACATCTGAGAAACAGCACACAGTTGATGAGGTGCAGGGCTGAGAGTGATGCCTCCGCGTGGCGTCAGGTCCAGGTCGTCTTTTCTGACTCCCGGTGCCGGAGTGAAGCGGAAGTGCTGCAGCAGGGTGGTGAAGAACATGAACAGCTCCATCCTGGCTAAACTCTCTCCGAGGCAGATCCTGCGACCTGAAGGAGAGTTTAAGAGGAAAACTTAAGATGTTTCCTGTCTAAAAGCAGAGAGATTTCTGAACCAACACACACCGGCAGAAAACGGCAGGAAGGCGTCACGCTTTACAAATTTGCCATCTTTGTCCAGAAAGTGAGCAGGATGAAAGCTGTGGGGTTTCTCCCACTCACTGGGATCATGCAGGACGGAAGCCAGGACGGGATAGACTGTGGTTCCCTGCAGCAGACAAAATATGGAAACACAGCAGACGTTAAACCTGCTAAGAGTGACCAACTGCATTACACTTCTCAGTCAAGATAATCCAGTCTTTTGGAAATAGTTCAAGCTAATTCCAGGCTCTTGAATCTATGGCTGACAGAGGAAATGTTGCTGAAACAAAATATTTTTGATTTAATCAAAATTAGCAAAGCATGTACAGAGAAAACAGACATAATTGCTCCCAAAAGTACATTTTCAAATGCTGTTTTCTGTGCATTCCTCTTTTTATCCACCAGAGGTCCTCAGTCCTCCCCTGTCTGTCCAGCTTCAGCACCAAATCCCTGTTTGCAAATCATCTTCCCTCAAATAAACCGGATCTCAAACTGCTCTCTGCAGGTTTTCACACATTTTTCCAGACCGTAGAGCAGCAGCAGCTGGTCTGATCCTCTGCAGTTACAATCCTGAACATTTTAGATCAATCACTTCTCCAACACATCAAAAATATCTTCTTTTCTTTGACCTGTAAAACCATATAATTGGAGACCTCACTGCAGAATTACTGTACAATGTGACATTATATGAGCTTTTTCTGGTTTGATATAAATTCAGATTCATTTTTTTCCAGCCTGACCTTCTTGATAAAGTAACCGTGGAACGTGATGTCTCTGCTGGTTCTGTGAGGCAGCGAGGTGGGAACGATGTTGCCCAGTCTTTGTGTCTCGTGGATCACGGCGTCGGTGAACGGCAGACTCTTCCTGTCTGAAACCTGAACCTGCCGATCTCCTATCACCCTCCTCAGCTCCTCCTGGACCCGGTCTGGGAGACGGGAGACATCAAGATAACTTCTTCACAGCAGCATCGGTATTTCAGTATAAACTTTTGTTAAAACATTTTCTTATTGTTCTTGTGATGGTGGTAAAGTTTCTACCTTGTATCTTTGGATATTTGGCCATGAGGAGAAGCCCCCATCTCAGAGTGGTGGATGTTGTTTCAGTCCCGGCGTTGAATAAGTTTGTGACCGTCATTAACAGGTTGTCATTGTGGAAGTGGCTGTTTTTATTACCAGATGCCTGCAAATGAACAAACAATTATGATTCTGTACATTCCTGTCATCAGCTTTAACGGCCACAGGTGAAATAAAAAAAATGCTTTACAAAAAAAAAACAGACATAGAAGATAGAATATAAAACAGAGTACATGCATTTTGTTTGGAATTTAGCTTTTTTGCATTTTGGACGTTGGAAAACAATGTGTCTATCTCATCAATAACAGTAACAATCAACTGTAATGTGAGCAGATTCAAGCAGAGCTGATGAACTCTAAAATAATTTCATCTGAAAGAGCAAACCTCCAGGTTCTGCTTGCGAACCAGAAAGGCGTCCACGAAGCCTCTGCACATGTCCGGGTTCAGCGTCTCCTTTAACCGCCTGAAGAGGGCGAAGTTCTGTTTCTGATTGGCTGCAACCATTTCTATGAACTCCTTCCTCTTTGTGACCCATTTAAAGAGGCGTGGAAACATGTTGTACAGCTTTCAAAGAAGAAGTTCTCATATAAGTTAATGAGTTCTCCACCCTGCAACATGTTGCTGTCTTTGCATTAAATACCTGAATGGACAGAGAAGCGGTGAGCAGGACGTTCCTGTTGGTTCGATCCACCATTGTTGTGAACTCTGGGTCACTGTATTCGAATCTGCTGCCGTAAACCATGGAGCAGATGATGTTGGAGACGGCGTAGTTAGTTGGCTGCGTTGTGTCAAAAGGTTTTCCTGAGGGAAAGTACAAATAATTGGAGGTTACAGCAGCGTAAAAAATATAAAAGATTTATTCTGTTTTTGCTTTTTTGTTACACTTAAATATTTCATCTCATCATGAATGAATCGTTCCTCGATAGTTGAGGGTCCAGATCTTCTGTATGACGCCAAGCGTAGAATAATAGGCTGGTTTTTAAAACTTCATCTCTCTGTGGTTCTTTTGGTAAATATCGAGTAAAAAGAACCAAAAAGATTTACTGACTTCAACCAGACAGTGTGACTTCACATTTTAAACTAAAACTTTTCTATATTTTCCTGAAAAGTTTTGTAAGAAGCACAGTTTTTCTCCAACTGCAGCATCAGTAGTTAATTACTCCACTGCTCTGGGGTGAGATGGTACAATTAAAGGCGGTTTGTTTAGCCTACAAGGGGACTAAACGTATTTTAATGTTGCACAGGTTGTGCTGAGGTTGTGATGAGACAGAACAGATCACTGTTTCTTTTTCATCATAGGTGAAACTTGAAAACAGAACAACACGCATCAGATATCACAACTTTTTAAAAATTCACAGATGCAGGACATGACAGCTGATTGGACAGTCGTTGGACACACAGAGATGGGCTCGTCTTTGCAACTTTATGACAATATTAATCTGAAAGGAACTAATGGTTTTCATGAGACTGGACTGAATTGTCTTGTAAAATTGATTAATTTTACCTTTGAAATCCTTAAAAACCTCAATGAGATGCTGACACTCCTCAATGATTTTGTCTTCACACGCCTTCTTGCCCATCCCAAAGTCTCTGAGGTTTACCAAAGCAAAGCGTCGCATTTCTCTCCAAGAGTCACCGTTCGACCACAAAACCCCTAAAATAAAATCAGTTGTAGAACTTGACAGATGATTTAGACAGATGTAAGCACAGATCACTAAAGGCTTCATCTCCTCACCATGCCCGTCGTTGAAGTCACGTAAAATCTGAAATGAATCCCGGTCTCCAAACTCCTCGTCGTGCTGAACCAGAGCCTCCTTCACCGTCTGGTATCCGGTCAGAACCACCACTTTTTGGGGCCCAAGATACACAGTGAAGACTGATCCATACTTCTTAGAAAACTGAACACAGAAAGAAACTGATCAAGTTTCTGTGACAAATGGGAAGTTCAGTTCTAGGTCACAATGGAGCCTCCTCTGCAGAAGATAGGAAACATCTTTGAGATATTTGATCAACAATTAAGCTAAAAATAACAACAACCAAAACCAATAATCGCCACCTGGACTTTGATGGGAAGATGGTAAAGAATATACGTATTTAGCACAACGTTTTTCCCAGTAAATAATCAGCTAATGAGGCTAAAGCATTAAATCAATGCTAGATGTCACTAACAACACTAAACATACCAAGTAATGCTTTAGTGTGTTTTTCACAGACTTTATGTTCCGACAACAATAAAACTTTCACTTGTTTTGGCTGTAAATCTTTAGGATTTTCATGACTCCATCAAGCTTCAGTCCATTACGTTAGGAGGATTAATTGAATTTACATGAACTGAGCCGTTATTGACCTGCTTACCTCCTGGAACGTGTGGTACGGTCTGCTCAGGTCAATCTGCAGAAGGTTTCCAATCAGAGGAAGTGGTCTCGGTCCCGGCGGCTCCTTCCCAGGTTTTCCAGAACTAAAGCTGGAGGAAATGAAATAGACCAGCAGCAGGACAGCCAGAGCCACCAACCAAGAGGTGGAGGAGAGCTGGAGGAAAACATCTAAAACCCCCATGACTCTGAAAAGGTCCAGAGCTCCAGATCAGGTCCTGGCAGTCGGAGTGAGCACTGGAAAGGAAAACAACTGAGAATCGGATTAGTTTGGCTGGACAAATGGAGGAGAAGTTCAAACAACGCAGATAGTTAATGATTTCTTAAACAGCTGGCACATTGATCTGTGTCAAAGTTGAGTCCTGATTTTTCAGTCTGCATGAACCAGCAGCAGACCTGCTGCACTAATTAGTGCAATAATGTACTCAATAAACTGTGACCTGAAGATAAGCAAGGACAAAGTTAAAAATTCACAAATCCAGGCATGTGTTACATAGACAAGACTTACATGAATCATTACATCCATTTCAACTAATTGGTACATTCATGTTTTTTTAACTTCATGCTGTGAACAGAATGAGTTTATGACTGGAAGTGTTGGTTCTGGAAACACAGTTTCTCCATGTCATCTAAAGATCCATCAGAGGATCATGATGTTCTTTCTTCTTCATGGTTTTCTGTGCCACACCTTGTTTCTCATCATAGTTCAACTTCTGAGCAATATGTTAACTGTTAACTGAACTAATATGAACTTTTCAGATTCACTGTTACCATAACTCATTATTCTTTTGCAATCCTCCAACTCTTAAGATTTTAACCTGAAAAAATGATGAGCTCCACCTACATAAGTTTGGCAATGTACAAAACTAAGTTTGTTTGAGGAAACTACGTGTTGTAAGTCACAGGAAATGTGCTCAGGATCCCCGAGTTCAAAGACGCAGAAGATAGAAGAAGTTACTGCTGGTGCTGAGACACGGTGAACCCGAGTGGACTAAAATGTTTGTAATTCTGGTTCTGGTTCTGCAGCTTACAGGTAAGAAAACAAGAAATTATCCAGAATCCACACAAGTTTTGTTGATTCTAGTTAGGATTTGAGCATTTTTTCTTTTCAACAGAAATCACAGGAAAGTTTTCACCCAGATTTGTTGTCCGAGATGGAGATGATGTCACTCTGCCTTGTGATAACATGAGAGATGAACAGGATAGATGTGAAAAAACTAACTGGCTCTTCAGTAATTCACCAGATTCATCAGTTACAGTCTCTACAGACAGACAGGTTTCTGAAAAGACGGAAAGATTGGAGGTGGCGGCTGATTGCTCTCTGGTCATAAGGAATGTCTCACATGAGGATGTTGGTTTCTACACCTGCAGAACTTCACATATCAATCATAATCATGATGCTCATGCTCATCTGTTTCTCATAACAAGTAAGTTTTTTAAAGTATCTAATCATTTTAACATTTAAACCTCAGGAATTCATGTAAATTTACTGTAATATTCACCAGTGATGGAGAAGGAAGACGGCGACCAAGTGAAGTTTTGCTGCTTCGTCGCAACAAATGAAATGTGCAAACACACGGTGGAGTGGATGTATGAGGGAAAAGCTGTGGAGGATACTATGATCATGAAGACGTCCAGATGTTCAGTTACTGCGGTTATTCCTGAAAGTTTCCTCAAGAACAAACCGGAATATCCAGAGATGTTTTCCTGCAAAGTGAAGGATGATTCCACAGAAAGAGACCAGCTGTTTCCCCTCAACCCTCAGTCTGCCGGTGAGCTACAGAGAGCTGCGACAAGTCTGAGGAAATGCACAGAAATATAGCAAACAATAATAACACATTTAATTTTAACAGGTAATGATGTAAGCATAACAAATCCAGGAGGAGAAGCTAACGAAACGGAGCCTGCGTTCAAAAACACTTCAACAACCCCACTGAGTAACGCATCTCTGTTATGTTTCACTTTATGCTGAAAATGTTTTTCTGTTTCTGATTAAATGCATGAGTAAAAAATCATGATTGCATGTTTAAGTTGTACTTTGATTTTCCTTCTTTGATTCGCAGACTTGTGGTTATACGTTGTTGTGTCGGTTGGTTCAGTAGCTTTGATAATAACTATTCTGGTGATCACTCTGTGGAAACGAAGGGAAGGTGAGAGAAAACTTCGGCTTTAGAAGAAATGATTTGTTCTCAGAAAGGTGTTTGTTGGAGCTAAAATGTAATTTTGGTGCACTTTTAGAGGAAAGATCAATAATTCTTCAGGATGTGGTGAGTTTATTCATTTCATTTTGAATTTTGCTGCACAGTTCACGTTGTTCATTGTGTGGAGAAAAGCTGCCTTTTCTTTGCACTTTGACAGGAGCAAAGCCTGAACTCTGCTGCGGTTCTGTCGAATCCTGGAAACGGCCCAAACACGGTGAGAAGGTTCCCCTGAACTCCAGCCTCTCATTCTGTCACAGCAGCCCACTGGTGGGGATCACCAGTCATTCTTACACAAACTGGTTACTGCAGCAGTGACCTAAAGGTTTTTGGCCATATTTGGCCACCGTAGTGTCTCTTCTGTTCACAACCAAACCTGCAAACACATCCAATATCAACAGGACTGAAATGGTTAAATCCTGTTTGTTTTCAAACTAAAGTGTTGCTTTAGGAATTATGCTGAACATGATATTGCATATTGAAGATCACAGTTACATTTCTAAAACATTGTTGCTTTATTAAAGCTGAAACATGATGTTCCTTTGGTTTCCACACCAGAACTCGCTTTGTTTTTTGTTTTTCACAACCAGATTAATTTCCAAACAGAAATGTTTCTGTTTCTGTAATAGCGGAAAAGGGTGACACACCAGCAGAATGTAGCAACAGGTGGGGGAGGAGGAACTAGCTTCAGGGCCCTGAGGTCACTCTGAACGTTTCTCTAGCATCTCTTTGAAGTAACGTTAGAATATTTTGTGAGTTTTGAAACCACAAACTGAATCCGATGTCTTGCTTCATGTTCAGTAGATATGTAGACGGCTGCCTTTACTCACTTTCCTGCATGATGTTAGAACATTTTGTAATTTCAGTTTTTTTCACAAAAACCCTCAATAAAGTAATTATTCAGGGACGAGTTATTTTTGTCCTTTTCACCTCAGGAACCTCAGGCTTGTTTTTATGCTCAGACACGTTGATGAGATCAGATTTAATCTGTGCTCTGTGCTCTCGTTAAGGACGATGAGAAGCCAGGCGACTCGGTGACCTACAGCTCCCTGAAGGTCGATTCTCCTGACAGCCTGAACGCAAACCGTTAGAAAATCACATGAACAAGAAAGTCAATATTTTGCTTCTGAAAAAAAACCTTATTTGTCACAAAGTTAAAGTGTTATTAAGATATTAACTGGATGCTGGTGTGATTTATTTCAGTTGAGTAGTTTCATGAATGAAATCTTGTATTTCTTTTATTTATCACTGAATTTGATAAATAATATATTTGTTTCATTGCTGATGTTTGTTGCATTTAATTATGAAATAAAATAGTTTACACAGGAATTTTTGTATTTCATTCTTGACAATATTTTTTAAAGACTGATATTGCACAGAAAAACACTAAAGAACTTATTTGCTCCATCCATCCTTCAAACGGCTTCTGATCCACATTACTGCATAAAAACAGATTATTTCTCTTCCTATTACTATAAGAAGAGAATCCCAGATCATCTTTACAAAATATAATTTCTTACTTGAATGTTGCCTGAAAAACTCACAGCTGCAATTTGTCTCTATGCAAACTGGGTGTATGCACAATCTGGAGCTGTGTGCTCTTTCCCACAGTAAAGAGCTGTATTGATATTAAAGGAGAAGCAACAATGTGTTCCATCATGGCAAAGTAAATGCAGAAACTTTAAATAATGAGATACCAGAGGAAAAGACACAAATGAACTGTTTCTCAGTTAGACTTTATTGAAACAAAAAGTATGAGAATTACATGAAAAACGGGTATTTAATACAAAATATAATTCTTCTGGCAGCTGAATGGAGCTTGATAATATGACTGAAGTATAAGAGAAAACTTTACTAACCCTCTGCACATCTGTGGGTTGAGGGTTTCTTTCAAATGGCTGAACAGGGCAGAGTTTTGTTTGTGATTGGCAGCATTCATCTCCAGAATGACATTTACTCCCAAAAGCTTTCCAAGAAATAAAAAGGATTGTGTTCATGTAGATTACTATATATGCATTGACATAATCCGCAGTGGGGCAAAGGTATTTAGGATAAAGTTAAGGAGAGAGTTGACTTGACTTAATGATTGCTTCTTGTAGACAACATAATTACTTTATGGTTAGGAATAAATGTCTTGCAGCTCTTGTAGTTTATATGTAAGTCAACCTTTATCTAGATAAGATAACGACATGTAATAAAGTAATATGTAAGAATATTGTATGTTATTGGGATTTTAAATGATTGACAAACATAAGGTTGAACACAATTATGAAGAGGAAAATGAAAATATACATAGTGTGACGTACATTTGTATTCAGCTTCTTTTAATCATTTAACCTTTAATGAAATCAGTCCAACTCCCTTCAGAGGTCATCTAGTTAGTGATTACATCTGATTTGGTTTTATGCCAGGACATGGAGCTTTCTGTTGTTACCTCCCAAATATGCAAATCAAACCTTTCCCTGTCAGAGTTGCTTAAACTAATAGCACCTGGTGCTGAAAGAACGAGGACATCTAGTGGTAATGAGAGGTACTGAAAAATCAAACTCAATCAGGAACCAGAGGAAAAGACACAAATGAACTGTTTCTCAGTTAGACTTTATTGAAACAAAAAGTATGAGAATTACATGAAAAACGGGTATTTAATACAAAATATAATTCTTCTGGCAGCTGAATGGAGCTTGATAATATGACTGAAGTATAAGAGAAAACTTTATGTTTCTATTATTAGAAATGTTCCTTGGTCATTTCCTGGCAGACTGAAGATCAGCAGGCTTCATTTCTCACAACTTTAAAAATAGAATAAACTCTTCAACAGATCATTTTTAAATAGAAAGAAACAGGAAGTTAAGCTTCTTAAGTTTTTGTTTTTTCTTGAGCATTTTAAGGTTTTTAAAGAATCGAGGGAAAAACACTTGCGTGACTTTTTTGCACACATTTCCAGTCACAGACGACATTCACTCACTTTTTCTGCTTGTTTATGGATCTAAATTGAATTAATCTGTGTTTTCAGCAAACTTTGAGACCTTGAGGATTTATAATAAAATATTTTCATCCTGATAATGAAGTTGGAGAGAATAATTCTTCTCTTTAATCTGTGGAAAGTTATGAATTTTATCCCAATATTTTCTGATATTGTTCTGATATAAAAATTATGATTAAAAATGATTGGTAACTGTATGGCTGTGACTGTAAGGCTCCTGCTCCTGAAAAACATTCCTATGTGAAATTGGTTGGAAATTAAAAAGTGGGATTTGTTTTGCTAAGCCGGACACTGTAACTGCATTTAATCATTTTTTAAATTGACCTGCATTTCTTGATGCTCTTTGTGGAACAAACAGTGGAGAAAATAACAAAAATAGCATTTCTGAAAGTATTCATTCTTTAGAAAGCATAATTAATTGAAATTTATTGAGACAACGATAAATAAAACTTTTTATGGTAAGATATTTTCGTGATAAATGCCGACACTTCTTTGTCCAGTGCTGGGAATCTGCAAAGAGGGACAATAAGGTGTTATTTTTAACTGTTTTAGCAACTGGATCTATTTTTTCCAGCCGTCTTCTCCAAATGCTACTTTTGCTCATTTCCTCTTAAATTAAAGCACTGACAGCCTTTTTGAGCTATGATTGCAGCATATGGTGTAATCTGGTTGAGTAATCAGCGAGTGAATAAATGACTCATTAGACCCCCAACGCGTTTTTCAGTAAATTACACCCACATGGAAAAAAAAAAGTCAGCACATTAAAGAAAAATTATCCGGTAAGTTCGGTTTAAAAGTTTCTAAGTCCAGATTTATTTTCCCACAGAGAACTGGAGACGTCAGGAGAAATGTCTGTGTTCACATGGAGCAGCGTGTCGCCGTTCCTGCTGCTGCTTTTTCCTCTAACAGGTGAGAAAATCTGCTAAAAGTTCAGTCAAGTGTCGGAAAGTAGAAACATACGGATTAGGATTAAAGCCACTGAAGAAAAAAAATGACTTTAATTTTCAGATTTCTGACTTTTTCTGCAAATTCTGACCTTTTGTCAGTGGTCCTCATCCTCTTCTGCATGAAAAATTGAAATTATGTAATTTTATTTCCGTCAGCTGGATCAGTGGAATATTCCCAACTAATCGTCAGACTTGGAGAAGAGGCCACTGTTCCCTGCATGGCTAACAGCAGGCATCAGTGCAGCAGCATCGACTGGTTTTACTTCGCTGCAGGAGGCTCCAAAACAGCTACACTTGCTAACCGCGGACAGATTGGTGACCAGTCTACCAAACTGGGTGGACTGGGTTTGATTGCTCTCTGGTTATTCAGAACGTCACGGCGCAGGACGTCGGCATTTACACCTGCAGAGAGTCGATGTCACAGCAGAAGGAAAGAGATTTTCAGGTTTATCTGACTGTTGTTGACAGTAAGTATAAATATATTAACCACTTATATACACTGAGTGGCCAAAACTAATAATGGAAAAGGAAATTATCTTACTATGTTATAATTTATCATCCGATTAATTGATTTATTGTGACTGACTTAGTGATAAATCAATTTTATTAACTTATCAAAATGTTGGTTTTTGAAGATTTATTTATTTTTTATTATTTTAGATGTATTTATTGCTGCCTCGTGGCAGGACAAGCACACTTTACAGCCTCTATTTATTTGGATCAACCCACAGAAAGGATGACTGAAATAAAAACTGTTTTTGAAAATAATTTATGTCTTTTCTAATTTCTTAAGAAAGGAATACAAATAAAATGGAATCAGATTTGTTCTTAGAGTCCAACCACCATGCAGGTCTTCTCCAGCACCAGCTGCATATCTAATATGTGTATTATTAATATATTTTGAAGCTACTCTGCTTTTACCCAAGCCAGTTTTAGATCAGCTTTGTGTCGGATGAACATACATTACAAGTAATGACGATATAAGCTAACTGCTCTGCTTTGTTTCCCCATCTCTTCCATTTCTCCCAGTAAGTGAACATGAGCAGACCAGTAAGGTCTCCCTGCGGTGCTCCGTGATGGAGAACGGGCCCTGCAGCCACGAGGTGGAGTGGCTGCATGTGGAGCGAGACGGGACGACCCTGACGCTGCAAACGTCTCATCCGTCCTGCTCTCAGGCTGTTCTCACCCTGCAGCCTGAGGCCCTCTCAACCCACCAGGACCTGCTGAAGTGCAGAGTTACTCATAACCACAGCCAAGTGCAGATATTTAATCTAAGACCTGCATCTACAGGTGACATATAATTAAAAACTTAACTACAGAATGAAAACAGAATGAAATATGTGGTTTTTTTTATGGAAACCGAGATTGAACGTTTTCCACATTTACTTTTTCCTGATGGTTTTCTCTAGATTAACTTATCTTGAGAAAAAGTATGCAGAAAATGTCCCTCTCAGCTTCCGTAGTCTTCTTTGATTTTGCAGATTTCTATTTCATTTATATTGTTTTGTATTTCAGGTGAGGACACACTAAAGCCCACAACAGACGCAGCTCTGCAACGTAATAAGTTCTATTTCTACTCCAGTGAATAGCAAATCTACCATCCTAATATCTACTATTCCCACTATCTTTATTCATTAATAAATATAAAACCAAAATCTGAGTGAAAAATACGCAAACCCACAGATTCATGAGCTTATTAAATCATATTTAGCTTCAATAATTCTCCCTTTCTTTGTGAGCATAGAAACATATTTAATTGCTTTATTTTCTAGATTCTTAGCTTTTTTTTATGTAACCTGTCATTTTATTGCTTCTTTGTTTATGCGTAATGCTAAATTTTAATGTGGTACTTCATTTTCTTTAAGTGTTGTTTTCAGACAGAAATGTTGCTGTTATTAAAACCTCCTCTATCGTTTCCTGTCCAGAGTGTCGCTGCTCCGCTCTGGATTACATCGTCATTGTTTTGCATCTGGCTGAACTGTTTCTGGTTACTTTCATTGCATTTCTTTTCTTCAGGTCTCGAGGTAACAAACATAAAAACAGCTTTAAAAATGGATCAACACAAACTGAATGTAATTATTGAAAATGTACTTGTGTTGTGTTTCCTAGGAATAAACAAAGTGACTGACAAATCTGTGAGTTTCATTTGGAAAACTGCTGAAATTTGTTTTCATGACTTTTCATGCAATTTACACTTCTTCTTTCTGTGCAGGTTTTAAACTCAGAATCAAGACAAACAGTAAACCACATTCAACCAGATGTTGAATCGGTAAAACCCATTTTTCTTATCGTTATTTATCATTCTCTTCAGTTTTCTTTTTATTTACTTTTTCAAATGCAGGATTATGGATAGAATGTGCCATAAAATATGGGAATGAAAATATAAATTACATAAATAAGACACAACAGATAAAAAAAATGATATGATCTTGCAGACTGACAGTGAAAGAAAACAAACAATCTGTTGGACAGAGTTAAATATGGTAACATATTTTCTGGAATATCCTGCATCTATAGGGACATTTAAGTTAGTTAATTCAAAATAAGTTGTATGGAAGCCCTCAAATGCCAAGACAATAATTTAATAAAATGAAATAAAATGCACAAAAGCTTATAAATATTGTTGTCCTTCAGGACGTGCCCTGTATTAGGCATTATTAATACTTGAGTTTTGTGATTATGATAAATATAAATTCACACCTTAATGTGTTTCCACAGACGAGTCATAATGAGGACGATTGTACAGGAGATTACATGAACTTCAAAAGTCCTGCTTCCTCTGCCAACTTCAGCGTTCAACATGAACATCAAATCTGATAAAAGTCCAATTTCCATTATTTACGTTTTCTAATGTATTTAAGATTTTCCTTCTACTTTTGCACCAGTTTTTTTGTTAGTTTTTTTTTTTTTTAGTTTTTTTTATTTTATTTTATTTTATTTTATTTATTTATTTATTTTTTTGCACAGCTGCTTCTGTAAATAATTTCTTGATAAATAACTTTGTTTTATAGGTCTGACATAGCTGCCAAAACTAGCTCAATACAAACCATCAGACATCAACACCACAGCTCAGTGTGTAATTGGCCTTTACCTAAGTTTGCATGACTGTAAAACCCAGCAGTTTACATGTTTCTGGGGCGACTGTGGCTCTGTTGGTAGAGTAGCCATTTTGTGATCAGAAGGTTGTAGGTTTGGTTCCAGCTTCCTCCAGTCATGTGTCAATGTGCCCACAGTTAACCCCAAACTGCCTACTGATCAGTGTATGAATGGGTGAATGTGACTCTAGTGTAAAGCACTTTGAGAGGTCAAAATGATTGGAAAAGGCTGAAAAAGTTCAATCCATTTCTGCAGGGATTTTATTTGTTACAAAATCTATATTATCTTTTGTACTATTTAATATTTTGCTTGCTTCTCTTATTGTTGCTTTTAAAAATAATTTTTTGTAATCTGGTTTTAAGGAAGACTTTCATGATCCACAGAGTCACCATGAGCTTGTATTTTTTATTTTTATTATTTAATTAAATCATTCCTTTTTAAAAAATGATAAAATTGTCTTTTTATTTTTAAAATCTATATCAATTTGATGACCTCTTCATACATTCTTTTGGTTCTGTATGTCAAGTGGAGGTTAGCTGTAACATTTTCAAATGCAGCCTTTTAATCTGATAAAAATCTCTTTGAAAAGTTAAAATGTTTTCCTTTACTCTGATCAAGAACTTATGTAATAACATCTTATGATTTCTACAAAATATTGACAGAAAGCAGACAGAATGTAAACCAGTACCAGCCCACATCAGCCTGTAATGTTCATGCTAACTTTAGCATGAACACAAATTAAAACGGTTTGGTGTATTTTGTGTTTAACTTTCATAACTTTAGTATAATTTACTAAACGAGACTTAGGAAGCTGTTAAACTCTTCTCTTGTCCACAAGGGGGCGTTATAGGTTGGCATCTGGTAAAATATAAAAAACAAAACAAAACTGAAGAAAAGAGTGATTGAATAACAGGTTTTAATTTAAAACTGTCTCTAAAATCTGAAGCTCAGTTAGGGATGAGGGATGTGAGCCTGGATTCCAGATGTTTCTGCAACAAGTCAACCTGCCTCAGATCAGAGCTAAATATAAAGAAATGACACACAGACGGATATGATGCGTGAATTACTGGAGATTAACACTTTTACTAAAAAGGAAATTACATATAGTCTCAGGAAATGCTTAGAGGGCTGCAGTTCAGCAGAAATGAACTGACACCAGTGCTCTCACCAGAGACATCCACTGTCGTGTTCAGTTGCATCCCATCGTGTTCCCAGGATTTATAAAGGTCACACCTACAGCTGAATATTCACACTCGACGTGAAAATGGCTGCAAACAAATGCACAATTATACAACTGTAAGCCTTTGAAAAGTAGAAATGGAGCCTCCTGCACAACCAACAAGATGGTTTCTGGATGGTGAGGCGTCATTTCCAGCAGCCATTTTACAGCAAATACAGCGGTAATACAAGCTGACCAAACATGCTGGAACTTGTATTGGGTTGCTAGGTGACAGGCTTCACTGAGGTTGCTAGGTAATGTGCAGTGCTTGCTGATTTGTGAAGTTATATTCCAGAGGTTTTTGAAATGGATCATTTTCCAGACACCAAAAAAATAAACCTATTGCCAAAAACTGGCTGGGTTTTTTTTTTTTTTTAGCCGCTTGTGTTGTTTTAAGAAGCAGTAGAAACCCAAATGGGAGTACAGAAATGCTGAGAATGTGAATTTTATAAAATATGTCCCCTTTAAGGCTGAATCTAGCTGGACTCTGATGGAAGCTCATCTTTATGGATGTAGAGGTCATAACCTGAAGAACCCAACAGAACCACGTCATCTGCTAAAACCAAAAAATGAGATCCTTTAGTTTTCAAAGTGAACACCAGCCAGATATTGAAATTTGCTGAAAAATTTGATTTTTTTAATGAATCAATAAACTATTAATCAGTCTGAAGTTTGTTTTTTTTTGTAAAGAATAAGGAGTTGTCAGCTTAAAGTAGCATCCCAATTTCCATGTGCTAATTCCTGCAAAAATAGAATCAGATTTTGCTGTTGAACTTTGCCTTCATAGAGTACTCTAACTGTGTTTGGATTCAAGCAATGAAGTTACTATTTAACCACAAATATTTGTTGTTCTGACTATTTTTTTTTTGTTATTTTTTCCTGCATAGTTTAAACATTTTATCAAACCACTTTCTGGATAATAAATGTATATTATTAGTTTAATTACCTGGTCGTTCATGTTTGTTGTTTTATTCTGCTGAAGTTGTTTTTAATGTCAACCACACATGCATCTATTTTCATATTTTCTAAGATTACCCAAAGAGATTGAAAGTCTTGTGAACAACAAGACAAACTAATGTAACCAAATCAACCAGGCATAACAATAAATAAGAACAAAAGCACAATTTAACAGACAGGAACTTTCAAACATTTTACTAAAATCTAATACCGCATTTGTTTCCAAACTAAAACAGTTGAGAATTCAGCAGATGTTTAAGTGTTTTAGAGCTTTTACTGCACATAAGAGGTAAAACAGTTGATCGTTTTTGGGTAGCTAGTTACTCTTTGAAGTTTTTTTTATTTTAATTTTGATCCCTAGACGTCTCAGAGTTCGCCCCCTGGTGTGTCAAAGCTCAACACATCAGAACTACTGTAAACAGCTATAATAACATCAACATCAGAGTTCATCACACATTGACATTATTTTTCTTCAAAAAGGCAATCTGCTGCATTCTGGTCTGATATTAATTGACTGAGTGATATAACTGTGCTAATTGTGAATTTGTCAAATAAATCAAGATCTATAAAGAACAAGAGAGACAGGTTGCAAAAGACAAACAATCCCCTCTTAACACAAATCTAAATTTGTATTGTTCAGATGTTTGTCAGCCTCACTGAGATCAGAGTTAAATATATAACAGGGTAAGAAAAAACAAAAGCATCTTAAGAAGAGATAAGTGTGAACTACGGAAGAGGAACATGAAATTCAGGAAGTGCCGACTGGCCTGCAGTTGTCAAAAGATCTGCTGACACTTCAGGAAGAAAGAAGACAAACTGTCTGAGAAACAGAATGACTGAATTCACATCAGTTCAACTGTCTTTATGTCTGATTCTGGCACTCAAGTTTACAGGTGAGGATTAATGTTACTGCTTTATGTTTTGTATTTTATCTAAATGAAGTGAGTTTTCTTGTTATAGGTGTAAAATTGTTACGTTTCCTGTTATGTCGACATATTTTCTACTTTAGCTGTTTTTCTTCTGTTGCTTTTCTCTGCAGTAATAAAGCAAATTTCTTCATCTGTCATTGTGAGAGGAGGAGATGAAGTCCAGTTGGCCTGTGAAAACATGATGGATCCGATTAAGTGCTTACGGATCCACTGGCTCTTCAGTAAATCACCTCAGGGATCCGCAGTAGATCTGGTTAAATTTGGTCAGACGAATCAAACTCAGGCTGCCAGAGAAAAAGCAGACAGACTAAGAGTCTCACCAAACTGCTCTCTGATAATTCAGAGGGTCAGCGCTGCCGATGTTGGGACATATTACTGCCAACAAGTTGAAAACACAGACCAGAAGGAGAACAGACACACTGTCGCTTTGTCTCTGGTTAACAGTGAGTAAATATTCTCAGCCATAAACCAAATACTAACCAAGCACTCAGCATAGTCACCAGCTAACCTCAGGTCTTTGTTTTCCTCCAACAGTTACTGAACAGAAAGACGATGAAGAGGTGAAGCTGAAATGTTCTGTTATATCAAATTATCCATGTAAACATTATGTGAAGTGGCTTTTAAAAGGTCAAAGTATTGATAAAGATAATACAAATCTAAAGACAAAATACTCTATTTGTGCTGCTGAAGTCACCTTTAAGACTTCACATTATGCTTATGAGCCGGGCCGTTATAATTCACTGCAATGTGAAGTAGGAGAGTCTGGAAGAAAGCAGCAGCAGTTTCCCTTCAGAGTTCAAACTACAGGTGAGAACAGTAACGTAATATGAAAATCTCAATTTGTTAATTTAGTTTCAGTTGGGCTGATAAATTTAGCATTCATGTTTTAATGTCATGAAATTTCTGAAAATAGGGAAGAAAAATAAAATACCTGAAAACAATGAGGCAGAACAACCATCTGGTGAGTCAGGAATCTATTTTTGTTGACATCATTTTCTCTTTGTCTTGACTTTGTCTTGATTTTATGATGAATTCATGAATAATATATACATGTTTGTACCACATATGTATAAAACTGCATGAAGTTAATGTGTTTATTCCTATTTTTAGGTATGTGGTGGTTGTACATCGTCGTAGTTATCGTTTTGGCAGCTTTCCTGTTGGCTGTCGGGTTTTTCATAAAAAGGAAGAAAAATAAAGGTGTGAAGATCCGACTGAAAACATTAATAGGTTTACTATAAATACTAAAATATGCCTTTGCATTTGCTCTTTGAAGGAAATAAAACACCAGTGAACTCACCCCCTGCAGCTTCTCAGTCTGCTTCAGAAGTGAACCAGGACCCAGTAAGTTTCCACAGCACAGCTATCCTCAAATCAAAAAATCAAATCAAATTTTATTTGTATAGCACATTTCAGCAGCAAGGCATTTCAAAGTGCTTTACATAATTAAAATACAAACAGCATGTGAGAAGAGGAAGAGATTTAAAAAACATAATTAAAAGGTAAGGGCTGCACAGTGGCGCAGTTGGTAGAGCTGTTGCCGTGCAGCAAGAAGGTTCTGGGTTCAATTCCCAGCCCCGGTCTTTCTGCATGGAGTTTGCATGTTCTCCCTGTGCATGGTGGGTTTTC